CCCTGCCTGGGCAACTTGGTGAGACCTCATCTCTACAATAAATCAAAAAAATTAGCCGGGTGTGGTAGCACGCGCCTGTAGTTCCAGCTACTTACTTGGAAGGCTGAGGTGGAAGGATCGCCGGAACCCAGCGGGTCGAGGCTGCAGTGGCTGGGAGCGGCCACTGAACTCCAGTCTGAGCGACAGAGTGAGACTTCAACTCAAAAAATAATAATAATAATAATAAAAAGAAAGATGGAGGATAGGTTTTTGCATCAATAACTAGACGAGACAATTATGCCATTAATTAGAGTATCAAATCTTGCAATAGAGTTTATGTCTCTTGTTTCATTTAGGCCTCACTTCCTGATATTGTCTGGGCAGGAATTGTTAGCATCTTTTTATAGAAACTGAGGCACAGTAAGATTAAAGGACTCCAGTGGGTCTGTCTAAACTCCTGGGCTTTGCACTGTACCTCAGTGGCTCTGTTAGTGGGAAGAGGGGGTTCTGGATGCAGGGATGTAAACAATCATGGTTTCAGAACAGGGCCTAGCCAGGTATCATCTGGAGGAGGGCCTGGACAGCAAATCCTATTTCCAGGCTCCCAAAAAGAGGGGGTGAGGAGAAGGAAGGTGTACATGGGCAGGGAGAGGCGTGTGTAAAATGTGCTGCCGCACAGCTGGGACCAAAACGTTCCAGGATACCCCCATCTCTTCAGGAAGATAGGGATCCTCTGCTGAGCTATTTAGGGATACTTCCATCCAAGCTCTACTCATTTAAAGGAAGCGCTCAAATTCAGGGTGACTACTCTCTGAATCCAGGCTCTCACTCTCTCTCTGTCCTCAAGTTGTTTCATGACCTTGGGTGAAGCATTCCCTTCCCTCTGGGCCCTTTTCTCCCACGTTTTATACAATAAAAACACACACTTCAGAATATTGGTGCAAAGGGAATAAAGGATAGCATCTTGAGAAACATTTTTGAAGACCTATGGCAATAAATGCAAAACGTTACCAGATTATTCTTGAATATAGTCATCAAAAAGGGAACAAATGTGCTAAGGAACCTCTTTAAACACAAAATAACCTCTTGAAATGCAAGGCTCCAATGAAACATTTCAGCCCAGGGTTGGAAAATTAGTTAGGAATCCAGATATGCACCCCCTTTCTTTTTTTTTTTTTTTGAGTTGGAGTCTCACTCTGTCGCTCAGACTGGAGTGCAGTGGCCGCTCCCGGCCACCGCAGCCTCGACCTGCTGGCCTCCGGCGATCCTTCTGACTCAGCCTTCCAAGTAGCTGGAATTACAGACATGCGCTACCATGCCCGGCTGACTTTTTGATTTATTGTAGAGATGAAGTCTCACTGCCCAGGCGGGTCTCAAACCCACGGGCTCAGGCAATCCACTCACCTCAGCACCCCCTTTCAATGACTGAGTCTTGCTGCTAGCTTGACTCTTAAGGACACTAAGAAAGAGCCCAAGGTCAGTACTTTGGAAACCTCAGTCAAATAGGCTACGTAAAGATGAAGGAGAAAATTATAGTCATATAACAAAGGAGATATCAACTTGATTAATAATAGTGTAGCACTCCATAACTATAGTTAATAATAGTGTAACCCTCCATAACTATAAAGTAGGTATGACTTTAATTTCCACTTTCCAAATGGAGAACGAAATCTCAAAGAGTTTGAAAAACCTTAACTAAAATCGTTCAGTTCATAAGCCAGGATTCAAGTTCAGGTCTGCCACTTTCTCTTTTGAAGCCCCTGAAATCCAGAAATTTTTTTCAATAAGAGGTTAAGAATATTAGGGAAATTTCAGACTCTAATGAAATCCCAGTTGGGCCTGGAGGAACTTTTACTCTAAAAGTTATTCCAGGCACAGGAAAGAACATGAGTCAATGACTTTGGAAATGCTGAGACATTGGAAGGAGAGAATTATCTCCTAAGGAGACTCCCAGATTCCTGAAAATCATTTCTAATGGGGGACACCATTACACTGTCAGTTCATGGACAAGATAAGCATCTCAAATAGCTTCCCCTCTTCCAACAGTGGGATTCTAGGGCAGGGATTACCAGGTGTAGTCGGTCACAGCCTCTTTTTGTTTGAGTTGGAATCTCACTCTGTTACCCAAGCTGGAGTTCAGGGGGCATGCTCATGGTCACTGTAGCCTCGATCCACGGGGCTCAGGAGATCCTTCTACCTCAGCCTTCCAAGTAGCTGGAACTACAGGAATGCGCCACCATGCCTGGCTAATTGTTTTATTTATCGTAGATAGGAAGTCTCACCAAGTTGCCCAGCCTGGTCTGGAGCCTGTGGGCTCAGGCAATCCTCTCACCTCAGTCTCCCAAAGTGCTGGGATTATAGGCGTGAGCCACCCCACCCAGCCGGCAACAGTCTTTTAATGCCTTTGAAAGGACAGTCAAGTGTATCTTGAAGTTGTCCAAAGAGAATTATAACGGAAAATCACTAGCCCTGGAGAAGAAAGGGTGATTAGGAAACCTGTTCACACTAGTCTGAGTGAACACTCAGCAGAGGTCCAGGACGGTGATAAGAAGTCCTTTTCCTTCAATGGGCCTTGGCAAAGGGCCACTTCTCTCAGAACCCTCATGGACAAAAGCCCACCCCCTCTCCCATTAGACCTCCACACCCAAAACTGGAGGAGCTTGGTGGCCCAAAGGGAGAGTGATGACAGGTTTTGCCAGCATTGCAAAAAAATACACAAGTACAATAGACACTCAGGGAAGGAGAAACAGTACGAACTATTGTACCAGCTATTGTTCTTATCTTAACTGCCCTTCCTTCCTTGCACATCCTTTACATAATAGATGAGATTAACAACCCTCCTCTGTCAAAACCATAGGCCACCAGTGACGCTGAAGCTATGAATAGAGGGACTATGAGGAATTGATCTTGCCTAGAAGTTGATCTTGCCTCTCGCTTCCCTGGGGTATTTCTAAGACTCCCAAAATCACCTAGATGAGGCCCAAGTAGGGCCTTCATGATCTTGCTCCTCTATAGCCCACCATAGTGGTGGCAGCAGCCCACAGGCTGGCACTAACCTTGTTCCCGTTGTTGTACATGGCAACCAGGCAGTAGATGTGGTAAATGTGGCCACACCTGGACAGCTTTCCCACCAGGTCAGGCTTGACCGTTGGCTGCGGGCCCTTGTAGCCCGAGGGGGTCGTGAGGCGCTCCATACAGATGGTGCAGTCCTGCGAGCAGAGGGAACAGAGCAGAGAGACCGTCAGCTCTCACCCAGCTGGGAGGCCAGAGCACCCTCACAGGGGTTTCCAGGGGATCTTGGTGGTCAGATGAGCTGTTACAGTTTCTCTTCTAGAAAGCCCACAAATCAGGGTGTATGTGCTTTTAGGAATCTAAGTATGGTTTTGTCTGGCTTTACGCAACAGAGAAATTCCTGAAATAATGCCTGGTAGGGGTACTTATTAACTTGGGCTCAGCAACTAAATTATCTCCTCCTTGAGGGTTGTGGTGATGCACTGTCCTTTTTTTTGTTCTCCAGTGGCTTATGGAGGAACATGCTTATTCACAGATTCACTGACAAGCTTTACTTAAGGTAAACTTTTATAAAGAAATTGAATTTCAAGCATACCAAAAGGGCTGCTATTTAAATAAATCTGCGACAGGGTTTCTCAGCCTTAGCATCACTGACAGGACAATTCTTTGCTGTGGGACTTTCCTGGACATTGTAGGGTTGTCAGCAGCATCCTCAGTCTCTGCTCTACTCTCTCGACATCAGAATCCTCTTGAACCATGGCCATTCAAAATGTCTCCAGACATGGCCAAATGTTCCCGTGGGAGCCAAATCATCTTTGGTTGAAAACCACTGGTCTGTATCAAACCCATTTTTGAAGTGAATTCTCAAGGCTTATCATACTGTTTTTCTTCAATTCAGACAGTCAGGTTAAGATAGTTTAGACTCAATCAGCACTACACTGACTGAGAAGGTGGAGAGATTGATTAAGACACAGCTGTAGCTCTGGACCGTGGACCGTGGAGCCCGTGTCAGTTCTGACCAGCTCTGTAACTGCCGGGGCTTAGAATGCAACTCCTGCCACATCGGAGACAGAGAGGGTGAACCCTTCCCTGCTTCCCTTGCACTCACCTCTTCTGGCGGGTGCCGGACTTTCTGCAGATACTTCTTCAGCACTTCCTCTGGGGTTTTGCCTGTGGGGACATGAGGATCCGTGGGCCACCGAGGCAGAGCTAAGGAGTCAAACAGCCTTGCCACGTTAGGCATGCTAAAGAGGAAAGTTACAGCTAAGTTCAAGGCAGAAAAGCGAACAGGATTCTTCTGTAACTGGATTAAAGAATGTGAAAGAGAATGCAGATTATGCAGAGCAAGTGAGGTGGTGGTCTGAAGAGAAAAGTGGTGACACCTGTCTCTACCCCTTGCAATCACTTCCCTGACATCCTTCTACCTGTTTTCGACAAACTCACTCTTCCTTCCTTTCTTTTTTCCTTCATTCTTTCCTGACTCTTCTCCTTCCCTCCCTCCCTCTCTCCTTCCCTACTTCTCTCTCTCTCTCTCCCCCTCCCTCTCTCTATCTTTCTTTTTTTAGGGTCAGGTCTCACTATGTCGTTCTGGCTTTAGCAGAGTGGTTATTCACAGGTACAATCACAGCACACTGCAGCCCTGAACTCTTGGCCTTAAGCAATTCTCCCACCTCAGCCTCACTGAGTAGCTGAGACAACAGGTGCATGCCACTGAGCCTGACCAAGAAAGCAACTTTTTAACTGAGATGGTTTGTGTGGGTTTCTCTTCCTTATAATCAGAGTCTGGATTTGTCCCAGTGATCTGAAGAAATAACAGAAATGAAAGTACTTTGCAAACTGTTACACTTTACATACACATTAGACGGTCTTACAGCACTCTTTTTATAATTTGCTAAGTACAAGTCTCCATTTATAATGTGGCATCAGAGTGAGATTATTTTTATGGGAAACCAGGAAGTTATGACCCACAGCTTCAGGACAGTATTTCTTAGCACTAAGTGCTGCTGTCACTGCCAAGAGACACAGCCCCTCAGCAGGGGAAGGGTGATGCTCTGGAAAGCATCCTGACAGGCTGCAGTGCTTCAGGGATTTCTTCAGGGATGGGCCCTTAAGAGGTCGCCCATCCTGAAGGTAGAGGGTGGGATGATAAAAGTTTGCAAGGAGGCACAGAAGAAAAAAATAATCAGTACTTGGGCAACTCCCTTAATTTTTCTAAGCTACTTTGTCACCTGTAAGATGGAGGCCAGCGTAGCACCTACTTCAAAGGGTTGCTTTGACAATTAAATGAGCTAATGGACTAGAGTTCTTTAGCACTTTGAGAGATAAGGGTCTGTGCTGCGAATAACAACAGGAAGAGAGGGAAGGTGTGAAATCCTGTCACTTCCTATCAGACAATGAGCAAGGCAACCGAATTCATTTAAGCAGGGAAATTTTGATAGACTAGAAAAGTAGGACAAGGGTTTGAGGAAGTGGATCATGCAACAGCCAAAAGTTGTGATGCAGGACCTACCTTCCCACTGCCCTGCTTCTCTTGTAAGAATTAAGCTACTATTAATTAAGGGCCTATTTTTTGCCAGGTCCTGGGCTAAGTGCAACACACATAGGATCTGATTTAAACTTCATAAGAAGTTTGCAAGGTGGGGGCTTAGGGGTAGGGTCAAATCTTTTAACACTCACAGTCAGGGATCAGAAAGACTAACCACAGAGCTGAGCCAGGACCCTGCAGTGCAAGGAAGGCACAGGTATTGACCTCTTAGCTGTTGGGTTGTGGACAGGTAGGATGGGGTTCTTGAAGAAGGGTTCAAAGTTGCCAGAGCATCTAGAGGTTCTAGAGGGACACAAGACAGTGGCCACCTCCCATGCGTCATGAATGCATTCCAGGACATACCTGCCAGATACCAGTTTGGGGCATTTTTACTCCATTATGAAAGTTTTTAAAAGCGGGTAGCCACACAACTTGCAAGTGACAAAGTTACAATGTAAATCCAGTCTGTTCTGGTTTTCCACACCAATGTGATCTTTCTCGTCTAATATATTTTCTTTATACCACACTTCACAATTTTATGTTTCTATACTTTTGCACTGTCTATTTTGATTTCTCAAGGCGCTTCCGTTGGGTCCCTACACAATCCACTGTGGTAAAATCATCAACCTTGACTGATTAGGCTCACTTAGCATATGCAAAAATTGAGGCACAGAGGGTTAAGCTGTGGCTATGAACTTTGGTGGTGGAGGCTAGCCAGGGCTGGCAGCCAAGTCTCTGACATCCAGGATCCCATAAGATAACGAGGCTGGTACCTTTCTTGGCTTGTTTTTTGGTGGTCTTGCGGCTTGTGTTGGAAACCCCTGGGATGGATTTTATCTCGCTCTTGCTGACGGGGGGTGGGTGTAGGACCAGCTTTGGTGGCCTGGTGAGACACACAGGCAGCCCCGCTGCACTCATGAGGATCCCAGTGATTCCTGGAAGGGGCAGCACATGGGTGAGGAAGGACTGGAGATGTAGCTCCCAACATCCCCCATTGCTCCCTCCCCAGAGAGTGCTCCTGATTCATGGATTCTCTGCCCTTTTCCAAACTCATTCATTCACTCAGCTTCAACAGCATGCAATCAGTTCCCCCTCAAACTCTTCCTACCCTTCCTGTACAATTCCCAAAAGCCCCATTTGCTTTAATTAACATCCAGATTCTCTCCTTTTAAAAAAATGCTCACTACCTATATTTGTTACTCTGATTTCTCTACCTTCAGCTAATGCATCCCAGAGTTTCTCTTACCCGCCAAGGCAGGGTTGACAGGACTTGTCCCATTTAGGTTCTTCACTGGGACGGTGGGGACCCTGTGGAAGGAAAGAGCAGATACAGCACGGTTTTGACAAGTGGGACAAAATGGACCAATGTTTAACCCTAATAAGGATGTGGTAAGTTCTTAATACAGCAGCCAGTCAGAGGTGATATGTTCAAAGCCCAAGTCTGACCATGTCACTCTTCCACTTAGAACCTCCAAACTTAGTATGACTCCTCAGGTCACTCAGAGTCAAAATCAAAATCCTAGCAAGGCCTACCCAGCCCTGCATGATCTGCCAACAGCCTCCCTGACTACCCCCCCCCAATTTCCTTATCCCTTTGGTCTTCCTCTCATATCCCTGCACTCTTTGCTCTTGCTGTTTCTCCCATAGGCCAGCCACACTCCTGTCTCAGAACCTTTACGTATGCTGTTCCCTGTGCCTAAAATGCTCTTCTATCAGATAACATCCTCCGACACCTCCTTCAGTCTTGATTCAACGTCCACCTACTAAATGAGGTTCTTGAGACCATCTCATTTAATACTGCTGCCCACCCTCCATCTCACTCCAGGACTCCCATTCTACTTACGATCTTTTAAAATAAGTTATTGCAGCTTATCGCCCTTTCTCGAATCTACGCTCTACAAGGGCAAATATCTTTCTGTTTTGTTCAGAGCTTAGCACTAGCAAGTACTCAATCGATACTTGTTGAAGGAATGAAAAAATAAAGAACCAAGTTCAAGCCAGGGAGTACAAGAGTCACTTAACATGCTTTTAAAAAGACAGAGTTTGCCGGGCTCGGTGGCTCAGCCTGTAATCCCGCGCCTTTGGGAGGCTGAGTTGAGTGGATTGCCTGAGCCCGCGGGTTCGAGACCCGCCTGGACAGCGAGACCTCATCTCTACATAATCAAAAATCAGCCGGGCATGGTAGCGCATGCCTGTAATTCCGGCTACT